TAATCCTTAAAGTTTTCAACCAAAAACCAATCTGCTAGATAATGTTTCAAACAATTAAAGTAGAGTACATGGATCGGTCCGGGTTGATATATAAACATACTTGTCATATATTGCACTCATCTAAGGTTTATACTTGGGCTTTAGGTGAGATTTGTCGTGATATTCGAGACGAGTCTAGCATTCAAATCAACAAGTCAAAATTCTAGATTCTTCAACAAAGAGGATTGAAGTCGGTGGCCCTAGGGGAATTTTTGACGCTAAATCTTGAAATGGTATGATAATTGAGATTTATAGTGGGTAGATACTTGGGAAAGGTGAATAGAGGTTTGGGAAGTGAAATGGTGGTGACGTAATGGAGTTTTTGGAGATAAAGTACACGACAAAATGAGGCTTTGGATTTGAGGTTGTATGGAAATGAAATGGGGGAGGGTTTTGAGGGTTTAAAAATCCTAGCCCTAAAATTATCGTCCACAAGGCAAAACATCGGTCCATGCATCATTTTGGCTACCATTTAGGATGGATGGAGTGGCTCTGTTTGGTTTGTTGGCTCTTAATTTCAATGTTGCTAAGCACAAGCAAAATTATGTTAACGTAGGCAAACCGATTAATAACATAAGTAGAGCATACCTTGAAACGTCATAATCAACGACATGCCAAGGATGAAAGTAACAAACCTCATTCCATTACTCATGTAATTAATGACCTAAAATTCAAAGTGCATTCCAAACAACCAAAATAACAATAAACTATATTAATAACAAACCGAATCTCCAAAATTACAGAAAATTGGAATACAGGATATATCCGAGTAGTACTTTCATTTATCGTAACGTTAGACATTAAATATGGGTTGACTCCCTTGGAGAGTTATCTCTTTTTATGTCTTAGATCTAGACATAGCCATGGGTGATTTAGTCAAGTGACCAATGTAAATCAGAAGGTCACTCTCCTCCCCAATCATCACGTGGAGGTGGTTCAAAGAACTTTTTTTGGTAAGTGCTAAAAGCTCTGCCCGACCGACAGCCTAAAAATTTCCAAATCTAAGTTCTTCACCAACTCCTTGAATTCCTTTTTACCGAGGTTTGATTGTTGGTTGTCCTCACCGAATTCCTTTTTCATATCCATCAAAGAATTGTGTTGACATCTTCCCAATAATTTGGAATTGGGAATTCGGAGGAGTCACATTCATATCCTTCAAGAGATTAGTCTGCTGGACGAGTGAACATCCATTTTTATCGATAAGATCATATATGTTAATTACAAGATCCGCATTGTCGATTCTCATTGTAATCCTTCATACATGAATATTGACAAATTCGCCAGCAAATGCAAGGAATGACCGCACAAATAGGATAGTGTAATCCCTATCCCTATCCATGTCTAATATAACAAAGTGGAGGGAGAAGAGGAAGGGACCAATGTCGATGGGTATCTCTAACCATCCCTTTAGAGTGACATTTTCTGTTATCGACTAGCTTAATGTCGTTGGTTGTATCTTATAGGTTGTTGAGATTTAGCGATTTATATATATAATATGTCCTTGCATTGAAGCTAGCTACAATTTTTATGAGAGCATCAACATGAAGATTGTTTAGGTTACACAAGATAGTGAAGTGTCCCATGTCAGACATCTTTTGTAGTATTATAAGGTGCATGTGGGGAGGTATGTTGTCCACTATCAGCCCTTGGGAGATTCGAATCGAGTGGCTCTTCTTTATTTAGAAGCGTATCCATTGATTGCACGGGATTAGTGATCTGATGTAGAACATGATCAATTTTGCCTGGTAGGTAACCAATATTGTATTCTTTCCGGTCCTCTCACGTCCCACTACTCAGTTAGTGAGTAATTTGTTTTTGGGTTTGGAAAACTAACTTAAGGGGTTGAGGTGTCCATTGGGTTCAAATTACCGTTGAGCTCTTTGCTTGTAAAACAAAATCTCATAAAATAAAATAAAATATTTTGTGACCGAAAGCAGTAGGTGATTGTGAGGATCCACAATCCACACGAATTTATTCACTCACTATGTTTCTATAGCCTACCATCTGCTATGGATTCGTCCTTTGAACATAGTGTTGGGAATGAATAGCTTTGAAAGCTATACTGAATTAATTATCCAGTATTATTTCTAGATACGTAAGTAAGATGGATAATTAATAAAAGAAATATTATTGAGATAATTAGGATTAATTATCTTAGTATAATGTATTTTAATTATGAAAGTATTTATCTTCCTAATTAAAATGTGGCTTATTCACAAAGAAAGGGACAATATTCTGGGTTTTCTGCTCCTATAAATAGCAGACCCCTAGGCTCTCTAAATACACCTCAGAATAGCAGAAACACGAGAGAGAGAGAGAGAGAGAGAGAGAGAGTTCATAGAGCTCCGGATTTTCGCACAAAATCGATGAGCAACAAAATCAGAGTGGCCATTTTATCCTAGAGGCGACCTGCTGATAGTCTGTTGTGCGTATTTTCGAGACAGTGCCGCGAACGTTTAAAAAGAGCGATCTAGTCCATGACTCAGCCAAATTCGGTAACCCTAATTTTTCTGTTCGGTTTTTAACGGATAGATCATGAAGAAAGAAAAAAGTAGATTAGCCAAATAGATATGCTATGTCACATAACACATATTGTTATTAGACGTGTATTGCAATGCACAAAATCAATTTTTTAGTCCACCAATATAGTCGCTAAGTATATGCAAATAAACATTAGATAAGCATCTAAATCAGAATATCTCATTTTCTACAAAAATCAAATGACTCGTAAACCTTTCATGATATTAGTTACGACCACTTCTATTATGCTATAAAGTATTGGTGCTTTAATGTATAATTTAAAATTGTATCATAATATTAAATGTATAAGTTCAGGTTGTACTATAAACGAATTTGTACTATTATGTTATGGTACAACTTTACAATTTGAGGTACAAGTTCAAGTTGTACCATAAAAGAATCTGTACAAAAAGTATAGGTGCAATCTGAAGTTGTACCATAACGTTAAATTGTACAATTTTAAGTTGTACCAAAAAGACAAAAAACATTGTAAAATTCATCAGTACTGAACGATATCAACAAAACATCCCACCTAAAAAACATTGGTTTGATTATCTGCTATGCCGTTCGTGATTGAACCGCCCAAATACATCACGGAAAGCACCGGTTTAAATTAAAGGGCACAAGCCACAATTAGAATTCCAAAATGAATAAAGAAGCCAGTTTTACAAAGGCCCTGTCTCTCTTTTTCTTCTCCCGTTTATTTCTTCTTCTCAGTAAATCCTTGTTTTCTCTTTTCCTTTTTGCCAATATCAGTTCCTCCGTAACCATGCGCCTAAATTCCAACAGTTTCCTTTCCGCTCGATGCGCCTCCGTCTTTTAGCTGTTAAGATAGAAAAAGAAATCACATCATACGAAACAAAAAAGAGATAGTCGGTGTTGGAGAGGGAAGAAGAAGCGAGGGAAAAGGAAAAATCCAAAATGGCGTATAGAGCCGACGACGATTACGATTACTTGTTCAAGGTTGTGCTGATCGGCGACTCCGGCGTCGGGAAATCGAACCTTCTGTCCCGTTTCACAAGGAACGAGTTCAGCCTCGAATCCAAATCAACGATCGGGGTGGAGTTCGCTACTCGGAGCATCCACGTCGATGACAAGGTCGTCAAGGCCCAGATTTGGGATACCGCTGGTCAAGAAAGGTAATTTATTTCCCCCTCCCCTGCCCTCAATCTGATTTTTCCGCCTTCGACGATCTCCGGCGAATTTTCCGATGAACCCACGTTCTCCTTCCCTTTGGTAATTCCCGCAATTGGGTCGGTTTTGATGATTTGGTTCGACCTACCCAGCTTCTGTTATTCTTTGCCTTTGATCAATTCTGGAATTTTGGATGGTTAGCTATACAATCTTCATCTGAATTTGAAACACCCATAGAGATATAGGCATATTGGTAACTAGTGGGTAAACGTGAATGACTTCGCACTGAATCGGGACTTCTTTGTTAGATTGTTCTGTTACAAAACTAGGAAGTTGATGAGAATTTGAAGCGAAATGCCACATCAAGTTGTTGAACAAAAATTCACCCCCATTGTCTGTGTATTCAACCTGAACTTGTTTCGTAGAGAAAGTTGCCTCTTTTATACCATTGGTGGACCAAATTGTAAAAGTCTCCTGTGATGTCTTTCATTTCATCGAAAACCTGTCAAAATCTGGAACTCCTGATGCCCCTTCTGGACCAAGTTGTTAAAAGTTTGCTCTTTTGCATTTGGGATTTAGACCAAAATGTTGAAAGTTTCCTCTTTTGCACTGGGATATCATTTCTTGTCTTGCAATGAAGGTATCGAGCAATAACTAGCGCATACTACCGAGGAGCAGTGGGAGCACTGCTAGTGTACGACGTGACACGCCACGTCACGTTTGAGAACGTGGAGAGGTGGCTGAAGGAGCTCCGGGACCACACTGATGCCAACATCGTCATCATGCTCGTCGGGAACAAGGCTGACCTGCGCCACCTGAGGGCAGTCTCCACGGAGGACTCCAAGTCGTTCGCGGAGCGAGAGAGCACCTTCTTCATGGAGACATCAGCTTTAGAGTCGATGAACGTGGAGAACGCATTCACTGAGGTGCTCACTCAGATCTACCGCGTCGTCAGCAGGAAGGCGCTTGATATTGGTGATGATCCTGCAGCATTGCCTCGAGGACAGACGATCAATGTTGGTGGCAGAGATGATGTGTCGGCGGTTAAGAAGGCAGGCTGCTGCTCTTCTTAAAAAGGTTGGGGGTAAAGGAGAGCAATGGAGGTCAATTGATCCTGTTCTGAAGAAGTGGAGAATGATGAGGTTTGAGAACAAGTTTGTTGCTTAAGGAATATGTATTTGTTTAGGTGATTGTAATCTCCCCTGTTCATATATAGACGCACAAGTTGATTTAACTGTGAAAACTGAGAATCCTAGTAAAGACAAACTAGTGTAGACCTGCTAACCAGAGATATCAATTTCAAATGTAGCAGTTCTATTTCTTTACTTTCAATGATTGGTTGTTCACTTTTGAGCTTCTCTGTTCCTGCTTCCTTCTATCTGGGGTTTCAACTTTCAAGTTCGCTAATGAACAACCAAACCAGTGTTTTCATTCACGTAAAGCATGATCAGCAGGGAAGTCTTATACCACAAATGCTAAAGAAACGGCTATTTTTACATTACCCAAATTCCCCAGAAAGGAGAAAAACAGAGAAGGATCCTCCATTCCATTCATTTCATTCCCAACTCAAGGTTCTGCTAAAGCTAATGTGTACAACCAAGCACAAAAAGTGCACATGGATGGTGGGTTTTTGCTGCTTACAGGGTGTGGTGTGCTTCATTCTTCTTTCGCCTGCAAAACAGTCAGTTTCGACGTCGATGATTAATTCAGAAGGATGAACACTGAAAGCGACCAATTCAGACAACTGAAATACAGGAAACCCAACTTCGAAATCGGTGGGAAAGTAGCGAGGAGTGACCAATTTGCAATTTCTCAAAATCCAATCGGAAAAAAACTCACGGGTCAGATTTAACGGGGAGCATCGCCGTCGGCGGTCTCGGAAGAGGAAGGGTTGTTGTTGTTGTTGTTGCTGTCGTCGGGTTTGAAGGAGGGGAGAGGATTACCGCCTTTGATGACCCATCCGAGGGCGAAGAAGGAGAGTCCGGCAAGAATCGCGGACCCCCACGCTTGGGAGTACCACCTGCTGTACTTCTTTGTGGCGTATTGCCATTGTTCCCTCAGGGTAGCCGGGTCCGGGTTCACGGCGTCAGGCGGGTTCGGGAAGTGGGGCTTTTGACCCGAATACCCGGCGGTGGCGTCCGGCCGGTTCGGAAAGTGGGGTTTTTGACCCGAATACCCGGCGGTGGATTTCCCGACAGGATTGGATTCCGTCGGAGCTGAAGAAGAAGAAGAAGGGAGGTTGGTTGGAGGTGGCTTCTCGGGTTCAGTCATGGCTATCGGATTTTCTGTTTGGATTTTCCTCAGATCTTCGACTCGGCGATTACTTTGTTGTGTTTGTGTAAGCGCTCCCGAGCTGCCATCTGTACTCCGGCCGACAAAAACATGGATTCCAGGCGGTGAAGCCCATCCATGAATTGGATTTTATGGGCTAAAGCCAACTCTACACTCTACAGGCTTTGTGACGGCCCAAATTTCATATTTGTGGTTGTAATTTATGCCCTTTGGCAAACTCCTTACCCTATAAGGCCAATACTACCGTGCCGCACTTAAAAATGTGGCACCAGTGCAGCAGTGCATTATTGGTCCACCTGGCTGCACATGTGGCTTGGTTAGTTGTCTAACAATCCGGCCCAAATCCTGCCAACCCATTAACCGGACCAACGAGTGAACAATTCCCTTTAATTTTTATTTTCTTTTTTCCTTATGTATTCCTCTCGGAAACTAAAAAAATATTAAATCCCACAATTATTCCATCAGTCTTCCTTGCTTCCCTCTCCACCAAATTGTCAAAGGAACGTTCAGCCGTTCAGATAAACTTCTGTGTTGCCAACTTCTTTGTTTGACCTTCACTATACTCATTCCCTATCCTTCTCCCTGAAATCTCCAACCTGCTACCCATGGTGTTGCTCCCAGTTTGCTCAATGTAAATGCCGATTCTACATCGTCATATCAAATTCTAAGTCGAATCGATGATACAGCCATCAGTAGGCATCTGTATTTGTCTTTTCCCTTCCACCTGTCGGAGTTCATTTTTGCATCTCTGTTCATATTTGTTTTGGTCGCTTCCTTGTTTTGTGCCTTTTTGGGCTCTCGTCTTTGTTTCGTATTGGCATATAGTTGTTCCTGTCAAGTGACTTTGGGATGGTGTCTTACATGCCTGATCTCCCTCTTTTTGTAGAGTGTTCATTTTCCACTTCCATTTCCCCTGTATTGCTCCCTCTTGTTTCGTGTGTATCACCGACGTCACTGAAATGGGTAAAAATGAGGCTAGAGGGAGGAGAAGCTCACAGCCTCATCACACAATATACAAGGACACAAATGGCAGCGACATCGGCTTGGATTAGGGAGGATGAAGCGAAGGAGATGAGCTCCATGGTCAGAGCACGAATCTAGTATTGAGGGGAGGTGAAAATGAAGATAAGGGTAGAAGACGAGGATGAGAAATTTGGGATAAAGCAGCAGATCACTGCTGCTCGACAAACACAAAAAGCCAAAGGAAAAAGAAGAACAGGGAAGCAAGGTTCATCACCACCAGACGCTTCAGAGACAAAATGTACTACTAGAGATGCAGCAGCAAAAAGGCTGAAAGGTTGCCGCCGCCGATCGTCAAATCAAAAGTAGTGGAGCAGCTGCTGCTTGCGTGGTTGGGAAGAATAATTCTCGACTTCAGGGGAGACACAGGGGAACGACGGGCAGAGAGGGAGGAAGGAATTTCCTTAAAGAAAAAGCTGCTATGCAATTCCAATCATCGATCTCTGGCTTTAGATGCTTCAAAAAGGGATGGCAGACAGAGAGGGGTCGACCGAGTGGGAAGAAGGTTTGATTCTCCGTTTGGTTTGGGATTTTTTGGATTTTGTGACGCCAAATCAGTTCGACGGGGAGGGAGGTTGAGGAAAACGTCGGATTCTTTCTTGTTTTTCTGAAATAAAAGTAGGACGTTATTTACCTGCAGTCAAGGTTGTAGGGAGTTCCTGCAGCCTATCCAGGTAGTTGTTTTTTATTGGTTTCTCTCCTTTTTTCTATTTTATTGATTCCACAATTTAAAACTAGCACTAACTCTAACAGACTAAGCTAACGGGGCCGTTGACAACTTGACATAAGTCTCATTAATCATTATTCCCTCACCTCCTCTCATTGCTTCTCTCTCGTGTAATTCAAGGAACTCTCATGACTCATATCTCTTGAGCGAATTTAAGCATCATTTAAATAAACATGTAATCAAACATAGTCCACGACAGATGCCATCAATTTCCCAGAAAATATAATAGCTCAGACTAGTCCCAAAAAAAAAATTCTAAGTACGTTAAGCATAATCCATTCCAAAAAATTCCCAAGTTCCAAAACAAATAAAATCTATAGAAATATTTCCGAAATAATGTCGTTTCCACCCGGGGCTGCTAGAAACTATGTATTCGCTATTTCGGTGCATCAGAATGCGAATTTGCAATTGCCTCCTGCATTGGTGTAAATTAACAACAGTGTTAAATAAAGATATGATAAACATATAAAGTAATAGTTACTCAATGACATACCTGTAACAATTGGGTATATGAAATGTTGTTTGAAGGAATTGTGCAATCAAAAGTTTCTTCATGATTATGGCTTGTTGTACCAACAGTTAAGCTTTGAGATTCAAATTGCCAAATTGTCCCCTAAAAGCATAAACATATATGTAGTTGAATACAATATAGATGATTAGATATGTCCGCATAAGAAACAAATTAAGTTTGTTCTTTCTATTGAAAATATATTAAGGATAAAGAAATACCTCATTACTTTGAACTTGAAACTCAATATCACTTTCTTGTTGAGAAATATTTGATGTCTTCTTCTTAAGCTGCAAATAATATTTATTTTTGAAATTCGTTCATTAATATAATTAAATAGCATAACAAGCATATCTAAATAAATAAAAAGGAGTGGGAAAGGAGAACCTGTGACTTTGATTAAACTTTTTTACTTTTGCGTCGCTCTAATGGACCTTTAAATCGCTTTTTTGGTCGCCCAACAGTTGCCTTTGTCTTAACTCCAGCTACTATTGGATAGTCTTGCTCATGATCTGAGCCCGGCACATCATTGTTGGTTCCACCATGTGAAGATCTTTTCATTAATTGCAAGTCCTTAAGTAATGTTGAAAAAACTCCGCATGCGTGCTCATACATAGTGTTATCCTCAGCTGCTAATGTAGATATCTCACGAAAATTATAATTCAAATTGAAATACCGCTTCCCAATCTGTTCCTTAGAGCTTCCACAAACTTGAATTGCACTTCTAATATCTCCATCTTTCGCATCCTTTGTCCATCTCTTTAATATATAGTCTCTAGGAATTTGCTTTATATTTTTCTTTTCAAGAACTTTTAAAGCATGAGCGCACAAAATCCCCACAAAGTCAAACTTCCTGCAACTGCATTCAACTATTTGGCTAGAAGGCTCAAATCGAACATAGTGCTCTGTACCACTACCAGCATATTTCACTTTATATTCTATCTGACCTTCAGTTATGCTGACCTTATCAATTGTGCAATCCCAAACTCTGAGATATTCTTCTTCAAACATTTTAAACACCGGAGGAGTATAAACATCTAATGCCTGTTTTAACATCTCAACATTTGCTTTTAGCATCGGGCTGGTATTCCTCAGTTTGAACTCTCCCAGAAGCTCTTTGTACCTTCTATCTTCCACCAATCGGTTATAATGATCGAAAAAGTATACCATATTGTGTTTTGGCTTCAAGTACTTTTTCAACACATTATTTATTGATTCACTACGTTGTGTACTCTTCATATCAGCAGTAAACATATGACGTCCATAAACCATAGCCCACTTTCTTCTTTCTAAAAATATTCCATGCAATCATTCATTGTCTTCCAAAGAATATGCAGTAAGCATAGTATCCCAAGCTTGATGCCATTCATCCTCATCTTCGTAATCAAATACACAGGCACCAAAATCACTAGCAAATTGCTTGGACGAATGAAATACATGACTTAAATGTGTAGCAGCATTTTGATAAATATGCCAAACACATAATCGATGATGAGTTTCAGTGAATACCTCTTCTATTGCTCTCGCCATAGCAGCTGACTGATCTGTTAATATGGTCTTCGGTTGCTTTCCTCCCATTGCACTCAAAAAAGCTTCAAATAACCAGGTGAACGATGAGATGGTTTCATCATAAAGTAATGCCGCTCCAAAAATTATCGTCTCTTTCAAGTGATTAACTCCAACAAATGGAGCAAAAGGTCGACCATACTTATTAATTCTATAAGTTGTGTCAATACATACAACATCTCCAAAGTGCTTATAATCAACTATTGACCTGCCATCTGCCCAAAAGATATTCATAAGAAGATCATCATCATCAAGCTGCACTGAATAAAAGAATGATGGATTCTCTGCCTGTGTTTTCTGAAAACAATCCATAATGGTCGGACCATCTCCTTTAATCATTGTAGATCGTCTTCGTGAAGCAATATGATTCCTGTAGTCTGTATCTAGAAACCCATTATGTTGGCGACCTCCATTATGTATTGCTAGTAGATCAATAGTTCCTTTGATTGGCAACCCAACTTTTGCAGCATCATCTGCAATAATTTTCTGAGCATAACTGAGCTTTCTATTGGACCTCAACATATGTTTCATCGGGGTGGGAGTAAGCTCATGGTTATGATTTGCTTCAAATTTAACAATCTCAAGCATGCCATCATTTTTAAGCTAACATGTCATCTCCGCTAAACAACCCACTCTTGTTATTGGCCGTTCGTAGGCTACCTTCTCAGACCTTTTATCGATACCCTTTTTGCCTTGCTTAGAACAGCTAAATGTCCTTCGTTTCACTTGTCCAGACTTTGTACGCTTGATGAAGTTCTTTTTTACGCTGAAACCAATACCGTGTGCATATGCTTTATAAAATTCATAAGCACTATCGTCACAATCAAACTTCATTCCTATACATGGCACTTCATAATTTGCACTCATCTCTTGTAACCTAGAAAGACACATAATATAGTTCAAGTCAAATATATAAAAATCAAAGAAATAACCATGTGTTATAGAAAAAAGAATATTTTCAACATATTTGCTTAGATCAGAACTTATACAAATCTCTAATAAAGTAAAGAAGATAGTTACCTATGATTATTAAGCAAAACAGCTAAACCAAACGTAATAAACTTGCACATTTAGTAAAAAAATACATCTCTAAGTTTTACTACAACTATTATATACAACAACGAAGTAATATATCTACTTGCCAAAGAACAAAAAAAAAAAAACAAAGAGAGAAATCATACCTGAGCTTCCACAATTGCTATTTCTCAAGAGAACTGCACAAGCTTAACCCACGTCCCATGGTGCTTTTGGAATAAATCTCACAATCAATACACAATTGAGTACTATATATAGAGTCTCATTAAAGAAAAACCAATGTCTTCTCCTTTTTAGTGTGGGACACTGTCTCCTTTTTTGGGATTATAGAGAAGGTGGGAAAATAATAATTAATGGGACCTACTTTAATGCTCCGTTAGCTTATTATGTTAGAGTTTTTTTTTATAGTATTATTCTGTTAGAGTTATTGCTAGTTTTAAATTGTGGAATCAATAAAATGGAAAAAAAAAAAGAAACCAATAAAAAACAACCACCTGGATAGGCTGCAGGGACTCCCTACAACCTTGACTGCAGGTAAATAATGTCCATAAAAGTAACTACCGTAATGATTTCACGAGGAGAAAAGGAAAATATAAAAGATTCATGGTTTGCTGGTTGGGCCGGTTGATGAGTAACCCGTCTGGGCTGGACCTATTTTACAGAAAATCACGCCACATAAGCACTAAGCAGTCATGTGGACCAATTAAAAGTAGCGGCTTTAACAGCGGTACCATAGTATTAGTACAGATCGAAAGGCTGGAGTATAGACCAAAGAGCAGACCATGTACTATACGGTCCATATCAGATCACACATGTGCGGTCTGGTCCAGATAGACCATAATGAACGAAATATGAAAAATTTGTTTAGTCAACCACACAAAAAATTGAATTAAAAATCGTAAAAAAATAATATTTCTTTAGCCTTAAAACATAAACTCCAACATGCATGAAGAGTTTTGACACCCTAAATCTCAATAAACAAGAAAAACACAAAGTCAAAGCATCCCAACTTGCACCATAACGTCATAAACATTAACATAATGTCATATGGAGACACGATCGCCTCTACTCTCTAGTGAAATGTAGTTGTGAATGAAAGAAGGGACGAGTTTCTCAAAATTAGGATTGAGACTTGAGTTTTGTTGGGAAAATTGGGAGAGTAGTCGAGTGGGCTGCTAACACGTATTGGGAAGTCAATTGGGTCGATGGTTTGGTCCAGTAAACCGTTATATAAACCAGACCAAGAGATCAAAACATCATATAATACAATGGACCAGACCAAAACATTTTTAACGGTTTACAGTCCAGACCAAACTGTACGGTCTGATCTGCTCCATGGTTTTCAAAAGGTATAGTCTATTTTTCCAGCCCTAGACTATAGTAGCAAAAGACCAGACCGATTGAAAAATTATGGACCAAATCGGATCGTATAGTTTGGTTAAAACCATAAATTGTTTAAAATTGTTTGGTTAGATCCATCACTTGTATTATGGAATGATTTGATCTCTTCGTTGATATGGCCTGGTCCGGATTGAGATTTATCGGACCAGATTGTGTACCCAATCCACTTCCCAATTCATATTAGCAACCCACTCAGTCACTCTCCAAATTTTGCGAATTTTATCCCCTCTTTCGTTCACAAACCACATTCCGCAAAGCTGTAAAGACTACTGCGTCTCCATTGAAAGAAAGAAACCCACCGCAGCCCCTGGTACCGTACACGCAGACACCTTTTACTGTCCATTGTGACTGAGATTTACTGTTTCAAACTGGCGTGGGCTGGCGTGTGGGCTGTTGTTGGGTGAGGCCTCATTGGGATCTGACGGAGTTTGGGGGCTCGGTCGGGGTGGGACTGGTCTTTAGCTTCTGGTTGGCCTTAGTTGGGGTCGTTTGGTGGCCCGGACGCGCGTTGGTCATCAGAGATCGGTATGTGACTTTGGCCCGAGCGGGCACGCGGATCGAGGGTTTTTCGGTTACTCTGTGGGTGTTCTGCTGGGTAGGGATCGTTGAGTGGTGGGAGATCTGGCGGGTTTGGGAGAGACTGTACTGGGAGATGGGATAGCTCAGAGATGGTGGGCCATGAGAGGGACTGAAAAGTTGATTGAAAGGAGTTTCTTTGGTTGCTGATGGGGCTGACCTGTCCTCTCTCTTTGGGTTTCTTTGGCGTGCTTTGGAATGAGGCTCAATTCTCTATGCGCGCAATTCTCTAGGAGCGGTGAGAGCACTGGTTGAGCTGGTAAGGGAAGCAGAGATTACTTGGCAAGTTAGAAGCCACGTTGTTTACTTTTGGTCCATCCATTTAACCTAACCAACGCAATTCTCTATGCCCAGAGAAAGGGTTTTTACTTTTTAACAGCTTCTTCCTCCATTAATTTCGAAACACTCTCTCTACCTTTCCTCCTCTCACTTCTTCTCTGTGTTAAGCTTTCTCTTATCACCACTGTTGATTCTATTTTTCTGGTTTTGTAGGAGATGAGAGGATTGAAGCAATCAATGGCGGAGAGGTCTGACATGGGTTCTGAGGAGATCCATATTCACAGGTTCCGTTTGATTTGAGGTGATTATGAGAAGTAAATTTGATATATGTTGACCATATATGTTTTCTGCCTATCTCGATGCGGAGTGGTTCCGAGCTCCAATTTTGACCATTTTTCTTGACTTTTATACTTTGAAGCTTTAGGTCGAGGTTGTTGTAGCTTCCGGATGGCGATGTTCTGTGAGAAGGAGGATTGTTCTTATGGGGAACCCACGAAACGATGCTGCGCCATTTTTGGACCTCACGTTCCTGGGGTCGCTTTCTATTTAAGGTGATTGGCATTTACTTTTTATGAGTTTGTCGTTTCTTTTTCTCATTTGGTGTTTGTGTGGTTGAAGCCAATCATGATCGGTTGATGGGCGGCGGTAACTTTTGTTTGGCGGGGATGAGAGTCGCAGTACAAGACAGAATTTTCGACACACAGAGCCTCTAAAAAGAAATAAACGCAGGGAAGCTGAAGTCCTTCACGAGCTCTGTTGGGAAACTCGGTTGCAATCTGAGTCTCTTCCTTCCGATTCGATGCATCATTCACCTCTAAGACCCCGTAGAATACACTGAATGAGTTTTCTTTTTACTTTAAGGTTCGATACGGGAAGAGTGGAGGGAATGGTCATATCAATCGGTGAGCTCCCTATCTCTTGCTTTTTTCTATTACTTCTCCTCTTTTCTTTCACTTCCAAATTTGGCTGTGTTATGATCTTACTGTTTTGAGTAGCAAATCTCAAGTTCTCCGTAATTACAATTTCTATATATATCTTGATGGATTGTTCTGATTTTGAATGTTCCTTAAACTGTTACTACAAATATATTAATGCCCGCTGATGCTTGGAAAAATCTTATGTTGCATTTTTTTAACTTCTATGTTTGCGTTAGCTGTAATGCCAGTTACATTGGAGACTGCCCATGTCGTGTTCTTTGGGTGGTATATGTTCAGATTTGAAGGGTTTAAAGAAGGGGGCCTTACACATAGAAAAAGGAACTCTGCTTATGTTTAGATGCAGTATCGAAGCACGCTAGATCACGTAGGCATGAGGTTGCATTTTGGCAGTTTTTTTGTTAGCAGTTTGTATTTATAATGAATATATATGTGGTTTGTTAGTAATTTGAACATCAAGCTGTAATAAAATGGTTACTATTATGGGTTCTTTTAAGAACTGTGGGTTATTCGAACTTCAGTGTGATACTCATGTCACTGTGGGTACTTGGCATAATTTCCATCTCTTTTTAGGTAGCTTGGCTGCCTGGTTTTTCTAGGGTTTTTGAGCGGCCATTTTTTATTGTAAAGGAAAACCTTTGTTATTGCTTTCTCTATTTGATTGCAACATATTTCTCTAAAAAGTGGTATACCTGCAGAATTTTCCAGTTTGAGCTATTATAGTAGCCAAGTGCATCATCCGATTCTGCCCCATTTTTGTTTCAGTTATCTACGGAGAATAAAGTGTGGTGGCTACCCAATGCATGCGAGGAAATCTGGCATTTTTTAGCAGTGCTGATACCAGCATATATTAATTAATAAACAGAACGAAGAAAGTAACAAATTCATGAAACAATTTATGTGCTATCTACTAAATTAGGAGTTATTGTTTTCTCTCAATGAACCTAAATACAACACCTATCCCGGCGCGGCGCGGGGTATGGATGCTAGTATAGTATTATGTTAACGTTTATCACCTTAAGGTGAAAGTTTGTTGTTCATCTTTGTTTATTTGTTATTACTTGAATTAAGGTAATAAATTACACATGCATGTTGGAGTTTAGGATTTAGGCTAAAAACATCTTTTCTATTATTTGATTCGATTTTTTACCAATAAACTATTCAAATAAAATTTTCTCAACATGACCTGCCTAATCCTAACCGTACTAAAACACACTTGCAATCTGGTCCGAACCGTATAATATTCGGTATGATTCCTTATATGTGCTCCAATCCCTCGGTCTAGACAATAGACTATATATATAGTTTGGTCTACACGACTACACTGATTGTCCATAATTTCTCAGTCCCAAGATGTCAACCCGCGGGTTGATCCGGACCCGATCGAGCTAGTGGGTCAAGGGTTAATGGGTCACCCGGTTTAGCCCGGAAATATGAAAAGAGTTAATATATTGTACTTATCCTGATAAATTATATCAAATCTTATCTAACATATGAGTAATAAGTAATTACACCAAAATTCACACTTATATAACATCAATATTCAAATGTTCAACTTAGAATTCCAAAGATTGAGTTAGGCGAAAAGAAAAATCGAAAAATAAGCGCATTTCGCAAACTAAAGAAAAAATTACACAATTTAACCTCCAACCCAATACCTTGTAGCGATCGATACAGCAGATGAGTGCGGCCTTTTTCATCGAGTCAGTGTCAAAGTGGGTTGACCTGTTGATTGACAACCTTGCTCAATCCTAATACCAACCATTATACCGCCAAAACAACATCTGCTAAAGAAAAACACATCCAAACAACTACAACTAAGTACTGACTAATCCCGAGTGCCGTAGGCGCCTACAATTCACAGCTTGCCTAATGCAATAGTCAACTGACATCTTCATACTATATACCATATCCAGCAGCCATTACTATTTACTGCTAGGAATATCCCATCTTCTTTTCCTTTTCACCATGTATTCATGTATCCATAATCCATATGCTCCGCCTTCCTCCTTATGGAGAGCCAAATTACACCAAGCAGCTTTTGCTTTTTTGCTGTCAGCTCCAGAGTTTCATTAGAAAGCTTTCTCATATTATCATCTTTTTAGGCAGGTGTAAGAGGTTCAACCAATATTCTGCAAGTGCATCCTTCCGAGTGAGGAGCGTCCACGATTGGCTATTTACTATCCGAAATACAGTGCAGCGATCTCTGGGACTAAAGCAACAGACTGTGCAATTAAGAAGACAAGGAAGGAGAATGAAAATTCTTGTATTGAAATCCACAAGTCGGAGCTTCTGGCTAAAAAGCAAAACAAATTAGCACCCTGTTGTGTACTAACTGTGCTGCATATCAAATACCGGTTTGCTGCTGGTACAATGTGTGTCAGAAAGAGATAATTATAAACTAGGCAGGGCAGCTTCCTTCTTCAGTACAACTAAGGCTGCCTTCCCTTCTCCATCCTGGGAAGAATCACTTCTTTGCTTCTGCCTTCTTCTGATCTTTAGCTGAAATGAAATTAACCGAATTCCCTTTGATTAGTTCCGCGCTTCAACCGCAAACTACTCTAGATATGATCAAAAGTCGAAAACAACTGAACGATGTCAAACACTCACCAGCCTTTTCCTCTTCCCGTTTCTTAGCAGCTTCAGCCCTCTGTTGGCGAATGAGAGTTAAACGCTCTGCGATTCGAACACGAAGTCCCGAGCAAGTTAGTAAAGCCTGTATCCTGGCAATGTGGCCATCGTATTCCTTAATCTTTTCAAACTTACCCAAGTCCTTCCTAGCTTGCTCAGTTTTGCCTTGCTCTTGGAGCCTCATGTATCGCTCGTGTGCCCTCTGTTTCTCCAACTCCTCCCTGCAAACAACAGGATGAAAACTTGGAATTTCGTTCCCACTGGTTTTCTAGCTAACAATCTTCAGCAAGGCAGGTATAAAGCAGCAGAATTCTAAGCCACGATAAAAGGATCCAGATGAAACAAGTACTTGTATCAAACTAACTACAAAAATTAAATAACTGATTCTCAGGCGGCATCAAAACCGAACACGAAACTTTGGTTTCATTCGGCTCCTTTATGGGATATGGAAAAATTGATAGCTATAAAACCTGTTTTCCTTGAATATTGAATAGAATAAAACAGGCATCATGGAGAGGGAAACCACAAGCATTCACGACTAACCTTTCACGTCTAGAAAGCTCAGTTGTTTTCCCCATCTGCAAACAAAGCACTGCTAATTTCTCGATTATTGAAAAACACAAGAATAATTGTAACCATGCCTAGAAAACTTACATCAAGATCTTTAGCCTTCAAATTCTTTGGCTTCACAAGATTTGGGTTCTCGATTGAGATAAGACCTTCAGTTCCTTTTCTTCTTTGCTAACATAGGTCAACAGCAAGAGATTGATGAGTATCAGTATCAGGGAATGATAACGTTAATATAATTACTATGAAAAGTTAAACAGCACAAGGATCACTAACATCAGACTCTTCATCTCCAGATTCTTCTCCAGACTCCTCACTTGATTCTTCTTCAGCTTTCTCCTCCTCATATGCAGCTTCCTCCTGATGAAGTATGCAGGACCCAATTGATCATAAGGAACGGAAAACAAAGAGCAAACATCAGCTACATAAGGAAGAAGAAACAATATGCTGATCCAGTAGAGACAAGTTTCAGAGACAGACCCGTTTGAATGTTCTTGGGCGTGAAGAGCTCCCAGCAACTGCAATCAAGTAGGCTCATCATCAAACAGTTAGCTTCAGCGGTTGTACTACGTGGTGCGGAATACATAAAGGTTAGTAGAACGACCCTCATCTGTCAAGTTTCCTTGACTTCATGGCACTTGGTATCCTAAGTGAATTAGAGCCCAAGCTCATCCAGAGATTAAAGCCAATAGTATACCAAGTTAGAAGTTTAATTGTCTTGTGAAAAGGATAGCTCTCCACTTTCTGGTCAAATATGCAACCGACAAGTGTAGCTAGATATTGGACTTTCTGCGAACCATGCATCAACAAGCTCCCAATTGCTGCCTGCTACCAACAGGCAACAGGCCCAAATGGATTCCCAGTATACTACTCCAGGTTCATCACTATGTTCAGAATTGCAACCTACACATCACTGCCCACCAACAGAAACCCTAAGTCCTTCTCTAGAAATCCTTCATCTATCCACCACGACTTAAGCTATCACAACGGTAACCCTTGAGGATTTTACCCTCCCGAAAACGGCCTGACCCCATGCAAACCAGATAAGAAGGTAGTGGAAATTGGGAGGGGAAAGGAAGAGAGGAGCTTACGCATCTCTTCGGGAGTCGAGAACTGGCGTTTCCCAGTGGGCTTCCCCTTGAACTTTCCTCGTCCCATGGTCGGGTGGAAAAAATTAACAGATAGAAGTTAAAGAGTAGCGACGATTCCGATCAGACGGAGTTCAATTCCGACGATAACAAAAACCGATCTGATTAAGTGCCTCGAGGAAGAAGAAGCCCGTGCTCGTCTCCCCAGATTCTTTTCGTTTATTATTACAGAAACAAAAACGAAATAAAGAAGATGGGGAGAAGTGAGAGAGAGGGAATCAACTGACAACAAAATCCGAACTCATTGGTACCCTACCCGACCTAATCCGGTCAACACGGGTAAAATTCGTATTAACGGGTTTTGGACCGGGTTTGGGTTTAAACATGTTTACTATTCATCGGGTTGGATTGGGTTAGGGTTTAGATAAACCTGCCTCATGGGTACTCGCCCACACCCATATAATTAATTTTCCGGTATATTAATATTCTAAACAACTAATCTTCTTTATGTTTGTGGAGATATGTCTAATTTTTTCTTTCGAATTGTGTAGAATGAAGTTGATATTATCGAGTGGAGAGTGAAGAAGCTTAATTGCCAAGGAGGAACAAGGTTTCAATTAATCATGTTGTTTATGGATAATTTGTGATATGCTTCAATTTTCTTGACTTTTCTAGATTTATGTTGAACAATTTGTATAGTTAATTTGTGATTTGCTTGAATTTTCTAGGATAGTGTTTTATATATGGATAATTTGCATTGAGATATTGATATTTTACTTTAATTTTGATAGTAACTTGTTATTGTAAATTTTTTAAGACAAAAACCCATGGGTACCCATGAACCTGCGGATACCCAACGGGTTGGTTTGATTTGAGTTTTTCAAACCCAGTGGCTTTTACCCCGAGTTTTTTTCACGGATAAACCCATGAGTTTGGGTTTACTAAAACCTGACCCATTGTCATCCCTACTCGAGAGTGATTTTTCTGTTTCTCGTCCTGTATTGTAATCGGGATTCCGAAAACCCTAGTGGAGAACAAACAACTCTTCTGTGGTGGAGGGGTCAGGATCTGGTGCGATTCACCACATGGAAAAGGCAAGCTGGAGATGCCATTCAGGTCGTACACGATCGACTTTTTTCCATAAAGCAATCAGATTGATTTTTCAAAAGCGGATTGGGTTTCTGGAATTTTTCCCATAATACACATGTTATGAATTTTGACAAACTTTGGAAGACCATAAATTTGTGCTCCGCAATCCGAATGTCATGAATTTTTTTTTATTCGCATAACTTTTGAAGGACTACAACTTTCATCATAACCATAATTTTGGAATGCATGTGGATTTGTGAAAAGTAAAGGCAAAGTTATTCCCAAAATCCCGTATACCCAAAAATATTTCTTGTTTTGAAAATTTTTTCCTTGTAAAAGTTGTAGTTCTTAAAAGTTTATGCTCAATCAAAAAAACTTTATGACTTTCGGATTGAGGAGCACAAAGTTATGGCCTTGCAAAGTTTGGAAAAATAAAAAAAAAATTGCTCGTTCGGGGTAGCAAACGAATTTTCTTTTTGGCATAAAGTCCTGTTGTAGATTGATAGATCTTGAAAAGTTATATGGAATAAAAAAAATTCGCTACGATCGGATAACCGAGCGCAAATTTAGGTTAGTTTGAAGTTTCAACCATAGTTTAGGCCTTCACCGCGCCCGTCAACCGCAGTGAAGCCTTCACCGCGGCCGTCAACCGCGGTGATGCCCAAACATGTGTAGATTGGAAATTTTTCATAAAACATGTGTATTTTGAGATTTTTTTCCGGGTTTCTGGGTTACATCCGTACCCGCCAAGACTAAAACCGAAGCACGCAAATGCCTGTGTACTGGGTGTGATGACATGATTATATTTTTGGCATTCCATTATCAGTAGGGGTGATCCTTGATAAGATTGTTTGGCATCATGAGACCTTTAGTGATTATTCGGTTAGGTCTAGGTATCATTTAGCGGCTCAACTCCATCGCACTATAAAGTGGGGTATGAATCAAGGGGTGCATATCTGGCATAAAGGGTTATGGGCTAAATTTTGGGGTGCCCCACTTCCACCTAAGTTATGTTTCTTCCTTTGGAAATTTGTGCGGAGGGTATTCTCCATCGGGGAGGGCTTGTCTCATCAAGGAGTGAAGAGTGTGGCGCTATGTCCGACTTGCCTATCCGAGGTAGAAACTATGGAACACTTACTTTTTAAATGTCGTCTTGCCAAGGGTCTTTTGGAGGCATTTGGCCTAGCCCATGTGCATGATTCCTTCCCCCTTTGTTGTGTTGAGTTGTATTGGCCTCGGGTGTTCGACTGGGGGAATATGGGTTCGGTGGAGGTAATGAATTTGGTATCAGTTTTATGGTGCATTTGAAAGGCTAAAATTGGGTATTTTTGAAGCCACCTTGTTTTCCACCGCAGTCTTGCTGGCCCAGCTCCATGGTCAGGTTGCGGAGTAGGAGTTTGTGCCTCTGGTGTAGGGAGCCGGTGGTAATCTTGTGGCTAGGCAGGCCAGGTGGTGGGAGGGGGTGGACGGCCTACTTGAGGAGACTGTTTGGGTATGCATTGACGGTGTAACCCGACAAGTGTCTCATGGTGCTAGTGGTTGATTGTGTAGGATTCGGTTGTGCTAGAGTGTGACATTCTGAAACTTTTCCCGACAAGATATTGTCCGCTTTGGGCCTAGATCCTCACAGTTTTTTCCTTAAGGTGCATATCAAGATGACTTAACATAAGGTCACACATCCTTGCAGTACTCTAGAGTAAACACGTTAAATTTCAAAGTTATCACAATAACTCTTTCGTTTCACCCCAAAACGCGTATTGTTAGTTAAGGTCGATTTCTTACTTATCAACCATGGATCTCTCTCGTGCTTTGTAGATGTGGGATTCGCCTAAAGTCTTACATACACCCTTATGGGACTCAACGTTCTCGTTAAGGTTTGCCCCAACATCATTCAATAGGGACGGGGAGAGGCTTTGATACCACTTGTAACATTTTGAACCTTTTTCCAACGAAGATATTGTCCGTTTTGTCTAGACCTTCACGTTTTTTGCTTTGGAGTGCATATCAATGTGACTTCCCATAAGGTCACTCATCTTTGCAGTGCTCCACAATGAGCATTTTTAATTAAGGAGTTCTTACAAACTCTTCCACTTCACCCCGAAAATCATCTTCTTAGTTAAGGTCGGTTTCATACTTATGAATCGTGGATCTCTCCCATGCTTTGTCGATGTGAGATTCACATAAAATGTTACAATATTCTTCTTTGATAGTAGAAACTGTTAATTGTATAAAAATTTCAATGAGACGGTGAATTCTACGAGTTGTCACTTGGTATTTCTAATTATTAAATGTTATGTTCGGTTAGGGGTTACACCGTTAAATTAATCTTAGTAATCGTGATTCAATAAAGCAAGTTTAGGCATATGTGTAATCAAGTTTATGCAAGTAGAAAACACCTTGCCTTAGTGATAAGAGGCTAATAAAGTATACAATACACTTTTTCATCCAATGACGACTAAGCACGATTGAGAGTACTCGGCTATGAGTAAGTGGGACTAGGCACTTGTATGTAGTGGGTTTAAGTTAGATATCCCTCGAATGGGGGACACAGTACTTATTGAAGATGGAAGCCTGCATGGACTTAAAGAGAGGATAAGAAGAAGTTGTGCAAAATAGAATGAAGAAGAAGATCAAGTCTTGAGCAATACATGCGCTACTTCCCCCATTCGCAACCTCACTTGGATGACCTTCCTTTCCTGGGCTGAATTTTGGTACAACACCACGTACCATCATTCAATTGGAATGAAACCCTTTCAAGCTGTCTATCGCCGAATCAGTCGTTGTTTGAGCCCAGACGCTCGTAGTCTTGTCCTCTTTCTTTTCATTACAAGCTTGCATGATTCTTTGTCCATAAATGAGGTTTAAATCCATTCTTCTTTAGGTCATGCCCGAGTTTCTTCTCCCGAATCGCCAATTGATCTCCGATTGACTTGAAACTTGCACCTATGCTTCACTTTACTTGCTAGGACCTGAAATGTGACAAAGGAACACAACCTAGCGTAAACTAGGCCATTATATGATAAACACAAAGCTAAACAGTCAAGGAATGAGGGGTAAAAACATGTGCATATTTATTGTTATCAAATTCCCCCACACTTAACTGTTTGCTTGTCCCCAAGCAAACCTGACTCAAACCAATGCAACTCTCTAGACCGTTACAGCAACATACGAGGAATTTCCCCACACTTAACCGTTTGCTTGTCCCCAAATTCCCCCACACTCAAACCTGACTCAAATCCCCCCACACTTAACCGTTTGCTTGTCCCCAAGCAAACCTGACTCAAACCAATGCAACTCTCTAGACTGTCGGTAGAGGGTTTCCTAGGTCAATTAGCAACTTACGATGTAACCAACACACAAGACAACTCCTAACTTCTTCGGCGAGAACTACTAGTCCCGAGTCGGGATCATGCCAAGTAGTGATTGTAGTACAAGTGATCCGTGGATAAATAGACTCTAAAAAACAGAAAGTTTACGGACTCACTTTTTTAGGTGCTCTATTTTTTTCTTTAAAGATGGTTGGAACACCATTTTTTTTATTTTCTTGTTTGTTTCTTATTTTTTCCTTGCTTTCAAGGGTTCCAACCTTTAATTTCCAGAAAACGGGGCTCCCACCCAACAAAGGTTTTGAGGGAGCCCAGCTCTTACCGGCCATGCCGGGAGCAGATGTCTCAAGCCTCGTGCGGGGGAAAGAAATGCAAGATGGCTGGAGGTAGTAGGTGGAAATTGGGAACGGATTCCCGTCTCCCCTTACACACTTTCACCGTTTTTCACACGGGAGACATTGTTTTAAAATCACAATTTAGAGACAAGTTTTCAAACATGATACATGAGTCCATGACAAGTAGAGAGTCATCAATACCACACGATTCAAGTGTACTAAGATCACTAATTCACACAATCATACAACACAATATGAAGAAGAAAGGAGAATTCCTAAATGCATCAACATCATCCATAGTGCTACACTACCTCCGTAAGTTGCATATCACTATAAAGAGTGTCAATTCAAAGCATACTGAGCAGACATTTGCAAGGGACACGTATTTGGAGCCCTCAAATCGTAAAATTTGGATAGTGGACTAGGCTCCAAGCACACACATACAACCAAACATTCACATGCATACATAATCGAACACCCCCCACACTTAAGCACGACGTTGTCCTCAATGGAGGAAAAATAAGGAGGGCAGAAGAAGTTACAAGATTAAGTGTGAATGATGGTGGACGGGCCAGGAGGTGCATTCCAGGAGGAGAGAGAGCAGTCAGAACACAAACAACACATAAAATCTCATAAAGGTTGAGTTATTGACTCTAAAATCAAAGAAAAAAACCGACTCAACCGAAGAGAAACAGGGAATGAAATGCAAACTGATTGGTTGGGTTTCCTCCCAACAAGCGCTTCTTTCACGTCTTGAGCCGAACGGTGGCTCCTAGTTTCGGTCCACCCTGAAACATCCTTGAAGTTGAGGTTCTCGTCGATGAGGTGGAGTCTCAAGTCACGAGCATGTGGTATGACAAGTGATGAAGGCTCGTGCACCTGATGCAGATGAAGTCTCCACCCTCGAGACCTCTTCTTCTCTTCTCTCGTCTCATTGCCCCAAACCAGATATAACAACATCGTGTGGCCACCATCATGTCCACCAAGAGGAATCGATGTTGATGTGGCCTTGGTCTGGCAAAGAGACACTGCAAATGGGTCCTTGCCAAGCAGCTCCTCGAAGTTTGGTGGAGATATCACATGTAACTCATGACCGGTGCAAGCCTCTTCAACCACAACTTCATCCTCACCTGGACGCCAATTGCTTCTTTAACCCCCCTTCCTTCCTCAGAATTTGATTCCTCCCCTTGCAAAAGAACAAGAACTTCCTCTAATTCACTTTCACAATCCTCCACAACTTCTTTCCTCATCTTTTCTCGCTCTTCTTCTTCTTCTTCTTCTTCTTCTTCTTCTTCTTCTTCTTCTTCTTCTTCTTCTAGCACGGATTGGAGAGCAAGTCGTCAATCACGAATGGGAGAGTAAGTCGCCAAGCAATTTCTTTCACGAGATCATCTTGCATCTCCTTGCTCATGCCCACCTCTTCAAAGCTCGACGTGGGATGTGGAAAGATGTGGTCAGCTACAACAGGATATTCCTGATCATGATCATCACGGGAGTTCATCGTGACAACTTCCGTATGCTCAACCATGTCCTTGTAGCCTCTTTCATCCTCCTCCTCTTCTTCTATGGTAGCAGAAAGGGGATCTTGAGCAAGCTGTGCACAAACTTGCACAAGATCCTCGAGGCTCTTCTTAATGCTCTGGAGGGTATCCTCTGTTTCACAGTTGGATAACTCAATTTGGGCTATGTCATCCATCTTCGAAAAGGATCTCTCATAGAACCTATTTTTAGGATTCTATCTATCGGATTGTGGAATTGGGATTTAGGGATTAAAGAAAAGAATTAGGGTTTTGAGAAGAGAAAAATAGAGAATCGGCCTAGGCCTTTAGAGGGTTGAGATCGAGAATTGAGAGGATTGGGAGATCAAGGTTTAGGAGAGTTTTCTTAATATTCTTCTTGTTGATTATAATGAACCCACAAAGTACACTTATATAGGAAGAGATAGGACAACCCTAATAATAAACCTAATATGATTAGAAGACTACTAACCATATCTAATAATATCATAATAAATAATATAGCCATTATAATAAATTGTGTTTCCATCATCCCCTCCCTCTTGAGACCAAACTTGCCCTCAAGTTTGTCTAACTCGTCCCACGTCTTCTCAATTCCCGCACGATCCATGTGTCCACTGTGTCGTTTCTTACGCTTTCTTTTCTTCCAATTGTGCTCCAACTCATGACTTTGACTGCTTGTGTTGACGTCCTTGTGCTGGAATTTATCATTAAGCACCAATTCTTCTAGGCCTGCAAAAATCTTTCTTAAAGCTAGCCCATATACGTCTCCATTTGCATTTGGCCCCCGCTCCCTTGGAAGCCCACCTATCAATTTAATAGACCCATTTTCTTCCAAGCTCATCATCATGGAAGGAGAACTCATGCAAAGCCTAGCCTTGAGAGAAAGGCCCACGGTTACTGCCTTGCTTGACCCATGACTTAGTTCGAACTCAGCCCGCTTTATCACAACTCGCGACTCAGTAGGCAATTTCCATGGCCCCAAAACAAGCCCAACAGTCTCTTCTTTAAGCCCATGACTGATGGTTCTTTCTTCCTTCCTTCTCCAACACACAATCTACTCCTCTCGGACCAAACAAGCCACCCAGGCCCGGTCCGCTTTGTTGGCCAGCCCAAGGGATTGAAGAGGAGGAGAGCGTAGCCCTCCTTGTTCTTCTCTTCCACCAGCGCCTCCATCATCGGCGGCGAACAGCTCTTCCGACATGTAGTCCCGCCTGCCCCCGATTTGTTCCTGCCTCCTTTTCGGCGCCGCACATGGGGCCGTCAGAATCTTTGTGGTCTAAATTGTTGTGCCGGTTTCCGTCCTTGACCTCATCTTCGACTTCTTCTCGGCCGATGACGTTTATTATTGAGTCGCCGTCACCGGCTCACTCCGGCTCGATTTTGCCTCCTCACTCGTTGACACCACATGCAGCTCCAGCTGCAGCGGCTTACATGCTGACCGTTCTTTCTGCCGCGTCAGCTCGTTCACTGCCTCCTCCACCTGGTCGTCACCTACCTCGACGTTGCTACCTTCCGTCGGCGCCTCCACCGTCCACTGCTCGTCCTCGCTTGTTGGTGTCTGTGACGGCACGTATGCTGATGGCGGCGTGATGACTTACATCGCGTTTTGCAGCCCCTCCGACGCCACTATCTCGGTAAACGAGACTAGCCACTAGCGTTGTTGCTCCATGCAACCCGAACTTCACCCACAACCGCTCGGCCATTTTCTTTGCCAAGATGGCTTCAAGAGTAGCCTCTAGCTGGTCCAACCGTTTCTCAATGGTTAGTCGTGATGTACTCATCGGGAATATGATTGATACGAAGCTCCCCTGGTTGAGAGTTGTGACAAACTCGCTCTCGGAATCGGGCTCTGATACCAAATGATAGAACCTGTTTTTAGGATTCTATCGATCGGATTCTGGAATTGGGATTTAGGGATTAAAGAACAGATTTAGGGTTTTGAGAAGATAAAAATAGAGAATCGGCCTAGGCCTTTAGAGGGTTGAGATAGAGAATTGAGAGGATTGGGAGATTAGGGTTTAGGAGAGTTTTCTTAATATTCTTTTTATTGATTATAATGAACCCACAAAGTACACTTATATAGGTAGAGATAGGAAAAACTAATAATAAACCTAATATGATTAGAAGACTACTAACCATATTTAATAATATCCTAATAAATAATATCGTAATTATAATAAATTGTGTTTCCATCAATCTCTCAGGTACTTGAGCAATATGCTCCACGAGAAGCCTCAAGCGATAGTTTGGATCTGGCTGAGGGAGGAATTCTTCTTGAAATGCCTAGGGGTTTGATTGTTCTTCGTAGTAGGGGGTTGCTACTGAAACCCGAATCCATAGTCTTCTCCTTCTTGATTGGTCCAGGAAGTCTCGGGGTAATACCACTCGGGTGGTGGTGGATATCCCCAACGGTTGGAGAAGTCATGAGAATCGATGATTCAGATATGCACCAACAAAAACAAAAACACCCAAGTGAAAAGCAAGGGTGGAAAAGAAAAAAAAAAGAAAACGCTAAAGTACCAAACCTAGACCTTTCCTTATAATCAAGAACGTCGCCGGCAACGGCGCCAAACACTTGCACGCTATGACACAACTCCTAACAATGGCCAAGTGTAACCAATGAAAGGGATTGCAGTATAGTGGCACAAGTAATAAATATCGAATCTACGGGTCTCTAGAGTACTATTACTCAGATTCAGCTCATTATCTAGCAAACCAGATTAAATATTGATTTACTAAACTACTCTACTAACTAAACTAAGGTTAAACTACTAATTACAGGTTGGGAACTCACTTAGGTATGATTCCCCCTAACTTCTCAATTAGGTCCAAGTTATAATTTCTTTTGGTTGCTATACTATTGATTAAACTATGAAAGACCCGAAAATAGCTTGGAATCTCTTAAGTTGACCAAGCCCTTTTAGACAGAATACCCGGCGGGCGGCTAGCCTTCAGCGGGATAGACTGCTAAGGGGATTCACACATATCTCCACTACTTGGAATGAATTACAGTACAAAGCACTAAATTGACTCACTCTCGCACAATCAATTCACTCATATCAATTGAACAAGCTCATCAGCCTAATCAGATTCTATCTATCATATTTTAAAGTGGAAATCAAGAGAATTTAATCAGAATTCAATTGACTCAATAAATCATGCCTCAATCAATTATAATCAAACAATATAGCATCGAAAACTTCATACAATAAAGATCCTAACACATGGAACTAGGGTTCCTCAAGACCTAAGTGAAGGGAAGTTACTCCATAGAGAAGAGAGAGACTGCAGAAATCTGATCTAGATCTTCAATATCCATCTCCAAGCTTGATTCCCGAGCTCCAATGGCAAAAAAATCCTCCAAAATAGCTCCAAGAATGTTCCCAAGTCGCTCTCTCTCTCTTGGGTTCGTCCCTTGGGTGTTTGGAATCCAAAACACAACTCTCTCTCTAAAAAATCGCAGAAAACAGACTTATATCCGAGAAGGGGGCAGAAACACAGTCGTGTTTCGAAGCCGTGTTTCATCCCTGCCGTGTTTTTTCTTGGCACTAAAGACACTGGCACAGGAGGGAAAAACATGTCCGTGTTTCTCTTGCCCGTGTTTCTTCCTCCGAACCTGTTCCACTATATTCGATGCTTCATTTCTCACTCGTCCGGACTCCGAATCAGTCGCCGTTTGATTCAAGAAGCTCGTAGTCTCGTCCTATTTCTTTTCATGATAAGATTTCATGATTCTTTGTCCATAAATGAGGTTTAAATTCATTCTTCTTTGAGTCATGCCTGAGTTTCTTCTCCCGAATCGCCAATTGATCTCCGATTGACTTGAAACTTGCACCAATGCTTCACTTTACATGCTAGGACCTGAAATGTGGCAAGGGAACACAACCTAGCATAAAATAGGCCAAAGTATGATAAACACCAAACTAAACAATCAAGGAATGAGGGGTAAAAATATGTGCAAATTCAGTGTTATCAATGGTGCTTAACACATAATTTTTTTGTGATTGCATTTTGTGGAGATGCTCAACTGGTTATCAAGTACACTATGGCAAATAACGCTTCTCACTCTCGAGCAGGGGATGTCTTGGAGGAAATTCACTCTTTTTCTCCTTTTTTGAGTCAGTGTCGTGTCATTTTGCTACTCGGAGCTTTAATAGAGCTGCCCTTGTAGTGGCTAATCATGCTCTTTAATCGGAAATCTGCTTGCTTATGGATTACCGCCTTTTTTTGTAGTTATCCTTGTAACTGAGTCGAGTCTTTGTCTCATGCCCTCTGGGCTTGGCTTGGAAAAAAATCCATCAACAAAGAAGCAGTTCTCATTTTCTTCATCCACAACTTGAATAATTACATTAAATACCTTCATGTGCTCTAAATTCAATTTTCGATACAATGTACCGAACTCCTCATTAAAGCTTCTTCATTGTAATTTAACTCCTTAGCGATCATTCAATTTCCTGAATTCAACCTCATGGCTCAGATGGAACATGCAAACCTTGGAAATCAGCCAGGGACTTTTAATATTTATGCAATAATTTATCGATCTCCACCAAACATTTATATATGATCTCATCATTATAAAGATGCAAGTCATAAAATATTTAAATTCCTTCACGATTAAATAGAATATCATCGCTCAATAATTCCCAAAAATTTTCCCACAAAGATTGCACATCAGATCCTTTGGCAGCGAATAAGAATTGTGGCAAACAGATTCCTAACTTTATATCTAGAACCCCAAAAAGGCAACTTCTTTCAAAAAGTCACTCCACTCATCATCATCTGTCAATAACCAAAAGAGCATAATAGCTTTTTGGAAGGAATCATGAACAACACCATTAAATGTTTTAGTTTCTTCAAAAGAACGACAACCTCTGAATAAATGCAGCAACATGCGATGATAAAATCTTTTTTGCCTGATTGAGAATCATAATATAATCTTCCAAAAGAAACCTTATTCTTCCTAATATGTTAGCTTTTCAACTTCTTATTCAAAATGAAATATTTAGGAAACTCCACAAATGTATATTTTTATGCCTAAAAGAATGAGCATTAATTTCCATCCGTGCCAAGAGCATTGATGTTTCATTTTTTCGGAAGCTTTTTCAATTTTTCGTTCTCCTTTGTGACTACTTTATACTTCTCAGGCAAATGACATTACATACGTAGTCCGTTGGCTGGATGAATTTGGTAAATATAATAAATAACAATACCTATTATACAAAGCAAGATATATTTTTTTATAATAAAAAATAAACCAAATTTAATTTTATTATGAGACCACATGTTACAGGGGAACAACGAGGAATTGATTCGCCTAAGGGAAAAAAAGATGCTCTGCGGAGCAATCCTCTCAATTCATTGGAGGGGAATCTGGCTATGCTGGAAGAAGACCCTCTTCCTGGTAGGGAAGTTGATCGGGGACTGTGTGGATGATTTCTGGCCAAGATGGTGGCAGAAGAAATGGTGGAGATGGGCGGTGGGCGAGCGTCCAGGTCGACATCCCCAACCTGCCTTGCCGTCACCGCCGTCGGAAAACTCTACCAGGGAAAATAATCGAAAGCGAAAACGTCATAAAAATGATGATTCCCTGGCAATCAGGAGAGATCTAGACCATGGGAAAACCTCGAGAGCTTTCTCGGGCAAGAGAGGCAAAGTGATTAAGAAGATTGGTTGGCGATTCACTCTCCCCCAATTGGAGGAGGAAGGAAAGGGGAATACAGAAGATTGGTCCTGGTCGGCGGCCCTCGTCGACGTCTGTGCCCTCGTGATCGATGATGGAGTCCGATTCAGGGACAAAACGATTCCCTGTTTCTCTCTCCGCGTCACCAAAATCGGGATTGTAGGAACTGCTTCCCTGTTTGTTCGGCGATAACAGGGGAACCCGATTCTTGTGGGAGTCCCGTAATTTTCTCCTCGATGTTCCGTTACAAGATTGGATACGGAATTAAACCTAATCGGCTGAGCAGGGATTCTTTGCACTATATAAACCAAAGCGCCCGACCCTTTAAACTCTGGCGAGAGCTGGGTGGTGCGGCTGACCAAGAGGCATCTATATCCAAAGAGAAGTCAGGTAAGCAACTGCTTTTCACTTCTCCTCTAGTGTACCTTGACTCCAAAGCCAGGCGGTTGCTGACTCCAAATCTCTTCCCTCCTAGTCGCGTGCATAGTCTAGCGACCGTGGTAGCAAGAGTAGGTGCTGATTCTGGCTGCAGGGGCGGTACCGGGAGAGATTGTGAAACGACTGTGGGATCGGCAATTGGAATTCTTACTCGAAGATCCTCGACTCCCAGCAGCCGACGAACAGGTAAACCCAGACTCTCTTGCGGGCTGATTGCTGGGATAAGTCCCCAATCTAGATTGAGTTTTGTGAAGGGTTTGCCGGTGGTGGTGCCCCCACTGGTGGCTACTGGTTTTGAGAATAAGCAGTGGTTCCGGTGATGTGTAGGCCCGCTGAGGTAATAGAGGGGGGATCTCGATAATGAATCGAATTATTGCCATCGTGATAGTAAATTCATATGTGTTGATAACCCTCAGTGTATGGTTTGGCGAGATTATGATCAATTAAATGGGATGCATTTATTAATGGTAGTGGGATGCACTATTGTCCGTATTGGGGATTGCTTTAGTAATTCGACACTGATTTTTTTTTATCTCGGTGTATTGTTGAATGCTCAGGTGCCTAGCTTAATCATTCGGGATAAACTAAGAGACGCTATGGCTCAAGTGCTACAAAACCAGATTGTCCAATTCAAGCTGGAGGAGGTTCAATCAACCCAATTCCAGGCATCCCATACTCTATTGGGCAGAATGTTTGGCGATAAGAGGCCATCGATGACTGCCATTCGTGAAGTAGTTAATGTGGCATGGCAAGGCCAGGGGTTAGTTTGTGTTGCGGAAGGAAAACAAGGATTCCTGGTGTTTGTGCTCCCCAATGAAGCGTGTAGGAATTGGGTTCTGCAGAAAACTCATTGGATAATCAAGGATAAGGTCCTCCACTTGAGGAAATGGACTCAAAATGTCACTGCTCGCATGTATGATGACATGGCTACTGCTCCATTCAATATCCAACACTGGAAAGTTAATGATGATTGCTGTACCCCAAAGTTTGGGAGGATTATGATTCAATCAGCCATTGGTAGGGTCCTTGATGCAGGGGTTTATGCCTGTCATATTGAAAAGAAAAATTTCATTAAGGTGAAGGCTATCATTGATTTCACCAAGCCCCTTCGATCCCAGATAATGGCTCTGAGTGATGAAACTGGTTGTTTCTGGATTAACTTGAAGTATGAGTTTCTACCGACCTTCTGCTTCAAATGTGGACGTGTGGGGCATCGCTTACAGACATGTGAGTTTGATCCACCACAAGGGAAGGAGTGCTTTGGGCCACACATGAAGACTAAAGAGCTTGGGGAAAAATTGTATGGAGAAAAAGATGACAATGTTCCTATCCATGGTAACTCTAGCTCAGTCTGGATCAATCAGGAGGCTTCAGGAAGGAGAAATGCTCAGCTAAATAAATAGAAGGATAAGATTGAGAAGGCCCCTCCTATGAGGCAGACAGGCGAATCGTACAGGAGAGTTGAGAAGACAGGAGAACCGGCTTATCAAAGCATACACAAGGAAGAGAGGAGGACTGAAGGAAGAAGCCCTCGTGGCTTTGTGATGGCTAAACCTCCAATGATCCATAGGGTGCAGAGGAGACCAGAGGAGACGGATCGCTCCGTCCAGATACCTAGGGAGCCCAAGGGTAGGGAGGGAAGACACTTTTCCCCTGCTCGCCAGGTGAGGAGGGGTGGTAGCTCAGCCGATTTGGAAGGTCAAGGTGCGACTGGATGGAGGTCTACTACTAAGGGAGGACCACCAAAGGGAAGCTAGATGGACTCTGGGCGTGAGTCTGGTAGCTTGGGCAAAAAGGAGAGAAGTGGGCGCATACCCACACAGAGGAAGGACATTACCCAGGACCCGATCTCTGAGCTAAGAAAAGAGAAAGGTTCAATGGAGAGAGCACAGAGTGAACAGAACTGGGAACCGGAGATGGAACAGTCTGGTGCTCTGTATGATGAGGCTGGTGATGACCTCTTATCGTCTCCCTCTTGGCATACCTTTCCATCGCGCAAGGTGCAGGTGAACGTAAGGATGCAGGGTGAGGAGGAGTATGAGAAGGAGGGGTCGGATGGTGATGACTCCAGCCCGGACCCGAAGGCTGATGGCCAACAATTTGAGTTGAAGAGCCGGGAAGATATAGAGAGGGGACTTGGGCCTATCTTACCAAGGAGGGCCATGTGAGGTGTGCTGTCGAAGCCTTCGAATTTAAGGTGGCTGGTAAGCTCACAAAATCTTATGAGACTGGTCGTATGGATGTTGAGGAAATGAGAGAGGGGACTTTGATGGAGAGTCTACCTCTAAATGAGTATGGCTCTAATGATGGTCAGCTGATGATGGGATCTAGAAAGCGAGGCTTTCAGGAAACAGGAGCGGAGTTGGAGGAGGATCCGTCTCCCAAACAACAATTTACAGAAGTGGAGGAAGAGACTGAAGAGGTGGAGGTAGCCAGTCATAAATGGCCCCAGCCGGATAAATGAGGATGTTGGCCTGGAATGTGAGAGGGATTGGGTCAACCCTCACATTCCGTACTGCGTTAGGTTTACTGCATTCCAATAAGCCTGATCTTGTCTTCCTGTTTGAAACAAGATCGAGTCGTCGAGTAGTTTTCCGTAGGATGCGCGGGTTAGGTTTCAATTTGTCGGTTCGTATTAATGAGAATAATTTTTCGTATGTGGTTGTGGGTGTATATATTAGTTGCAATGATACTATCCACGAAATGCAATTGAACCAACTCCAAATCATGTGTGAATAAATCTAGCTACCTTATGTAGTGATTGGTGATTTCAATTCCATTCTATCAGGAAATGAGCAAGATGGTGGGAACCCTTGGAACCTAGCCAGCTCCGCTTCCCTTAGAAACTTTGTGACTGACCTAGGGCTTCATGATGTGGGGTTCCAGAGGGATCAGTTCACATGGTCCAATAGGCGGATGGGGCAGGCCTATATTCGGGAAAGGCTTGATCGGGCGTTATGTTCCCAGTCTTGGTTGGAGCTTTTTCCAGAGACTTTGGTGAAACATCACACAGATCAAGGGTCGGATCATAGAGCTTTGCTCTTCTCAGATAAACCTTTCACGAGACAGAGTCGACCCCTGTTCCGCTTTGATGCTCGCTGGGCGGATAATCCAGAAGTTTGGGCTATGGTTGTGTATGTGTTGAATGAGCATATCCATGGGCCCCCCACGTTTAGTGAAACATCCCACCTTTTTAACATTGGAAAAGATCTTTCTACCCCAGGGTATGATTAAAAATCTCAAATAACAGAAGCTTAAATAAAATACCAACTCAAATATCTCAATATCTCAAATCGAAGCCCTAAACACGTGGGCAAAACTTAAATCATCCAAAAGAAATGAATCTCCAGTCTTTAAGTCTTAACCATAAAGTCTTAATAACTTGAAAAGTTCTTCGAAGCTTACTCTGACGCCTGACTCGACATCTCTCAGCGGCGATGGTGTTGAGCTCCCCTAGCTTGCTGATCACAGACTGGCTGGTTAGGATTTCCTCCTCTACGATCTGGTGAGTGAGTTGGGGTCAGTCTACGCCCTTAAACTTGCTAAGTTCGGCAATTACAATCACTGCCTCTGCCTGTGATTTTGGAGGTTTTAGAATCTGAAATATTATTGTGTTTATGGTGTGTTATGACTTATGAAAGTTTTGTTTTAAATTCGTAGATCTGATATTTATGGTGATCTTTTTTTTTTGACGGTATGATCCTTATTGGTAAGGATCTGGAAATTCTGTGTTTCTTGGTAAAGGGAGGAGATCTATGACACAAACAGTAGGTTTAGATTAAAAGAGATTAACTACTATAGGTGGCAAGCGATTAAATAAACAAAATTAAACTAAATACCACAAACAATAAAATCAGAACTAATGGTAGTGGGTAGCAGATGATTATGGTAGTAAGCTATGTACTCAAATGGAAATAAACTAGTGATAATAATATACGCTTAAAGGAAGATCATTTGATTAGCACATGGATTGAATAGAAGTAGATGGTAATATTAGAAATCAAAACAATGTGGAGTTGGAAGAAAATCATATATCATTGCAAAAAGAAACAGATTTACAAACAGAGGCCTACCTCGTTGGATTCTTGTGCACTTCCTCCCGTTTGGAACTTGTAAAGCTCTAGACATATCTTTGTCTAACCGAAAGATTCTCTAAAAAATGTTTGTATGAGAAGTTCCTCTTTGTGTGTCTCTTTTATCTGAAAAGATGAGGAGCCCTTTTCTAGCAAAAACAAATGTCACGTGTGACCGTCTGGTTGGCCCTTTTCATTGGAAGTTGGTAGTTGATAAGGTTGGACCGAAAATGGTTTGGGCCGAGTTGGTTTTGGGGTCAAACCCGCCAGCTTTAGTTTGTGTGGCCTAACTGAACTGGGTCTGTAGTATGTGGACTTTTTTTTTGTTATGGGATGGACTTGAACTTGGGCCGACCTTTGGGCTTTAACTGAGCCTGAACTCACTGATCTTCTTTTATTTTGCAGGTTGAGCTAATCTCGTTTGGGCCCGGAGGGAGAAGCGTAGTGGCCTAATAACCTCAATTTCAGAAGTCTAATGGATTGTAATTAGTTTTTCTTAGTTCTTCCTTATTAGGTGTGTACAAAGTAATAAATTTGAATAAAACCCTTTTCTTCTTCTATTCCAATAGTCGCCTTTTATTTATTATACCCAAATTCAAACCTCAAGCGTATTAAGTGTCAAAATAATTACTACCCCTACAAGTTGATCCGTGAATCATATAAGAGTAAAACTGGTAATCATTGGTTCATATTGACTTGCCACTGCTAGTCTCGACCAAATGATTTCAAACTTCCTTATCATTGGTGATGCAACAATTAATTTTTTTATATAATTAACATGATTGCCTCGGACAAAATGTGGTGTCTACACGTGCCTCGATGTGCTAGAGCTTAATAGTTTGAATACATTCTTGAGGAAAATTTTCGATGGCATGGAACCGTAGTGGAAACATAAGTGTAGGGGGAACGGAGGTATAGTGAGGTTGGGCCTCATTGGATGCTTGACCTGGACATGTTCAACATGTTCAGGTGTTGGGCGGTGATGTCAGGGTTCGTTTGTCACCCCCAGTGGCGCCAGTTGCTGACAGTGGACGAGCTCATCTACCGAGAGCTATGCGTGGAGTTCTACTCCACTTCCTCCCACATTATCCCGGCGAGTAAGCGAAGTCGACCCTACGTGGAGTTCATGCTAAGAGGTCAGTCGCGGGTGCTGACTTACGATGCGTTTGCTCAGGCCATGGGGCTCAACCCCACTCACATGACAATGACGGAGCGACAGTACACCGCCGATTTCCATTACCAGGCTGCATTCCAGGCGATGAGTTTGAGGGTGGCCACACCATTGCAGTGAAGCTTCGGACTCCGTGGAGGATTCCGCACACCCTCCTGACAAAACCAATCATCCCTAGCCTACTGCTGGACCACTTGATCACCAACAGGGGGTTGATTGCCCTCAACTCCATGAGGAACCCTGCCGAGCCACACCATTTGGGAGTTGTGGTTGTTACCACCTTCGCTAGGTGTCTGGGGCGAGACCGAGTGGGCACGATGCACTTGGGGGCGTGACAGGGTGCTCCATCATTGGCCGGACCGAGCCATTTCCAATGGAGACACTCTATAATATGAAGCTAGTGCCTCAGGGAGAGCGAGGGATCGAGTACCTTGACGCACTTTGACCTTCGGCGGCCCTAAGGCCGAGGGTCGACCCTACTCCAGTGGAGTCTGATCTAGAGGTCTCTCCTCCCGAGAAGCCACCTGCTCGAGCTCCCTCCCGCAGCATCATCATCATCCGGAGTCAGTCCTTCCACCTCCAGGGATCATCTAGTGGAGCGTATGGCTCGCCTCAAGACTCACGTTGTGGGAGTCACCACTCTCTTGACCGGACCACAGATTTGCTAGAGAGGATGGCTCAAAGCCAGGGTGTCCTTCAGGATGATGAGCCGGGGCCTTCGACCCATGAGAGGTAGCAGACGAGTGAGACACCATACTTTCTTCGTGTCTATACGTGAGTTGTCCTTGTGTCCCGGAGTTCATGCTTTGGAGCTCCATTGAGGTTCTACATAAGAGGATTTTGTGCGGTTTTTGCTAGAAAAGAAGAGGTAGCGTTGGAGTAAGTTTTTAATCGAGAGCATTGTTTGTTAAATGGTATGTGTTTCACTTTTGATCCCTATTTATCTTTGGCGTTTGTGGCATTTGAGCTCACAAAGGTGTGGTTTTACGCTAGGTTTGCCGTGTTTCAGTGTGTTTCAGAATCTAACAGGTGGAACCAACCCCAGAGTCGATTTTTGGAAGAAATGGCACAAAGATAGGACCAAAGGATGGAGCAGCCGAAGATCACGGTCCAGGCAGGGATTTCACGATCATTTGGACCATGAACTGGAGCCATGAACCGTGAACTGGCAGGGTTCTAGAGCGGTTTTATAGGTTACTAGCATCGATCCAGTTTACGGTCGCAAGACTGTGAACTGAAGCCATGGACAGTGAACCGGCTACATGAAACGGCGCGAATTATTTCGAGTTCATGGTCTCCGCCATTAGTTCACGGCCGTGAAATGAGACCATGAACTGGGCGTGATCTGTGTATAAAAGGAGAGTTGAAAGGAAGAATAAAGTGGAGCTCAAAGTGAGAGAAACCTTCTTCTTTAAGAATCTAGAGAGAGAAAGCCACGAATCTAGAGGGAGATGAAGCTAGGGTTTGCTCCAAGTCAAGATTTAGGAAGTTCCTCTTCAAGAGAGGATCTCTACAAACACAAGGGAGGATAAGGCATCACAATCATGGGTTTTTCCCTTTCCTTTGTGTTCTTCATGCTTCTAGCACGGTTGGGTCGAAGTGTGCTGGAGGAGCAAAATACCCGGCCATGGGCAAAAATACCCGACCGGGTATTATTTGGAGCAGACCGGGGATTTGACGCTTCGGGAGTCTCTGAGAAACAGAAGGGGGCCCGAGCAGTGAGCAGAAATCCTCGGTCGGGGATTCTTGGACCTGACCGGGGATTTTCCCCTGTCTTCAGACGCTGCGTTTGAAAATGCCCGGTCGCCACCCAAAATACCCGACCGGGTATTCAGGTCGGGGATCGCGACAGACAGCTTTTTAAGGGAAAAAAAAGGCAAAAAGAGAAGGGTTCCAAGTTTTAGACAGAAGAAGTCATACCTAG